TACAAGAAATTCAGAAAGGATTCCACGAAATTCAGGAAGGATTCCATGAAATTTAGGAAGGATTTCAGGTAATTTAGGAAGGCTTTCACGATTCATGAAACCCTTCCTGAATTACGTTGAATCCATCCTGAAATTCATGAATTCATGAAATCCTTCCTAAATTACATGGAATCCTTCCTGAATTTCGTTGAATCCTTCCTAAATTTCGTGCAATCTTTTCAGGAAACCCTTCCTCAATTTCTTGATATCCTTCCTGAATTTCGTGAGTTTTATTTTTTGCGGGAACAATTAGACTGGATTTTTTTTTCGGAAAAATATTGAAAAAAAATTTTGGCGGAAAAATTTTGATAAAATTTTTTTGGCGGGAAAATATTTTTAAGTTGCGGAAATTTTTCGGTGGGAAAAATAAATTTTGGGAGAAAATTTCTAATTTTATTTATTTATTTATTTATTGAACTAATTATTCATATTTAATATTTAATGAAAGTTTATAATGCTATTTATGGAACTTTTCAAATGTAGTGCTATTTTTGGAAGAAAAACTTATTTTTGTGCTATTTTTGTCGATCTCCCAATTTTAATATTTTTAAAACATATTAATCCAATATTGTTTTTATAATTGCAGTAAACATATAAAACTGTATTTTTGAGACAAATTTTTATGATTTTTATTACAAATTTATGATTTTTATCAAAGTTTGAACATAAGTTCTTGTAAAACATCACAAACTCCCAGTTTTTTTTATACTTGAAATCTAAAAATAATTGGGATATGTAAAATTAGGCGGGGAGTAATCGGATTAGGCGGAAAGTAATCGGATTAGGCGGAGAGTAATCGGATAACTGATTTCTTTAAGGGATTAGTCATTAATCGAGGCGGATAGGATAAACCTAGCGATTAAGCGGGGAATATTTGGATTAGACGGAGATTTTTAGAACAGAGAACCTGAATTGGTCGGACCCTAAAAATATGTTCTGGATTTAATTAATATATAAAGAGAAATATAGAAAATGTATGACAAAAAGTCTTGGACCAAAATTGGCGGAGAGAGAGAACCTGGGGACGGACAGAAAGTGGCAATTTGCTCCGACATTAAAGATAATTAATGAAATCAGGTAATAATTAAATGAGCTTAACTAAAAATTAATAAATGAAGAGAGAGAGATGATGTATGTATAATCGTAAACGCATATAGTAGGGAGGAGGACACATGGAGCCACCCTTGTGGTGTCCAACAATTACTTTTGATAATCTTTTTTTTTTTTATGTACTTTTAACAGTTAAATTCTATTATTATGCTTAGATATGTTCCATTATATTATATTCATTTTTTTCTACATATGACAAAGTTTTACATTTTTGGTTTGTAATCTTCTAATTTGTTGATAGTAGAGTTGGAATACCATAACATTTTTCCATTTTGATATAGCAAAAGCAATTTTTCTTTAACTAATTTTAGCTACTGTTATCAATGTTTTAAAAATGTATTTAAGTCCATCACTTAGTGTTACTACTTTTTAATCATATTATTAGACCAAGATACTTACTTAATCCGATCTAGATAATAAGCAAAACTTATCCAAACAGTTTGAATTTTGAAATTACAAGTTCAGAAAAGTTCCAAAACAAATTTATACAAACAAACCAATGTTATCTTTATTATGCCACATAGTGTCATAGACTAAGACTATAGCCTATAATGTATTATTTTCTTATGTTACAGTCTAGAGATATAAGTCCTTCATTTTTGACATTTACAAAGCAACTAGTTAAGTGTTAAGATTGGGCACCAATAATCTCAGCACAACTCTAATCATTAACATTCATATTTTACCAAATAATTCAGAATAGTTCACATTCAAATAAGAAATTGATTGTGAGAGCTGTATAGCTGTACGTATGATGTCCATATTACAGTTGTTAGCCATTGTTACAAAATAATAAAAACAAAAAACTAATAGAAAGGTCCGAGAAACTTGAATAAAATTTAGAATTTTTAAAAAGATTATTATCGTGACAAAGAAGAGAACCTCCCAAGAAACAAGTCGTCCTTATATAAAGCCACCCACACCCCTTTAGCTTCTCTCACCATCATCATCATTTCTCTATCTCTTTCTAAAACACAATCATGACTGTTTCTTCATCTCCATGGGCTCTGATGGCTCTGTTTCTGATGGTTTCTTCAACAATGGTAATGGCAATTCCTCCACGCAAGGCCATTGATGTACCCTTTGGGCGTAACTACGTCCCAACTTGGGCTTTTGACCACCAGAAACAGTTCAATGGCGGTTCTGAACTTCAGCTTATCCTCGACAAATACACTGGTACATTTACTATTACCAAAGCTCTGCCTAATGAGCCAAAAAATAGGCTTCTTAATATTATGCAAGTTTTGATGTTCCATTTTAAAAAATTTAATTTGGTATATAGGAAAAAGCTTTATTTTTTGGTGCTAATTTTCTTGAGTTTAAAACTACATTTCATTTCATAGATTAAGTAAATAGCATTAATCATCTCTATTATTTTACTACAAAACAATATTTAAATTTTATTTAGGACACATTTTTGTTTTTTATTATTTTACTACAAAACAATATTTAAATTTTATTTAGGACACATTTTTGTTTTTTAAAATGTATAAAACACAAGTGTTATCTTTCATTGGCCTTAGGCCCCAAGATCTTAGGGTACACTTACTCACTAACAATGTTACATGTGTATAAAAACAGGCACAGGGTTTCAATCAAAAGGGTCATATTTGTTTGGACATTTTAGTATGCACATAAAGCTTCCGGCTGGTGACACAGCTGGAGTTGTCACAGCTTTCTATGTAAGTCTCTCCACTAGTCACTACTAATACACAGATCTCAGCTTTAAATGATATAGCAATATTAATTACAATTAAATTTATGAAGCTTTCATCGACCAACAACGAGCATGACGAGATAGACTTTGAGTTTCTTGGGAACAGAACAGGACAACCACCAATATTGCAGACAAATGTGTTCACAGGAGGAAAAGGAAACAGAGAACAACGAATCTATCTCTGGTTTGATCCTTCTAAGGCTTATCACACTTACTCAATCCTTTGGAACATGTACCAGATCGTGTATGAATGATTCTATCCTTCTTCTCATTACTTACATTACACTTTTTTTCGTATATTATTGTATAGTGAAAAGTTGTCAGAATTAACATGGTCCTACTAGCGTGATGAAAAAAAAAAAAAAATCACATGGTCCTACTAGTGATAATTATTGTTTTTTTTCATATTCGGTGCAATTTCAAATTATTAGTATTATTTTTCTTAACCTTGGGGGTGGCCAAAATCTTGATCTTATCAAAAGTAGTGGGGTCTTGTAAGATTATCTAAGACAGAGACTTTTGAGTCAAAAAGTTAAAACTTTTTCAGCTTTGAAATTTTCTTAATGTTCAAATAAGCTATATAGCCTATGTGGATAGGTAACATAAGTGACTCACTCTTTATTTTGGGGTTTTCAAAATTTAATAAATTTGTTTAAATTGATTTTGTTTTATCAGATTCTTTGTTGACAACATACCAATCCGAACGTTCAAGAACGCTAAGGATTTAGGAGTACGTTTCCCATTCAACCAACCGATGAAGCTTTACTCGAGCCTTTGGAACGCGGATGATTGGGCCACGAGAGGTGGTTTAGAGAAAACCAATTGGGCCAATGCACCTTTCATTGCATCCTACAAAGGATTCCACATTGATGGTTGCCAAGCTTCTGTGGAAGCCAAGTACTGTGCCACCCAAGGCCGCATGTGGTGGGACCAAAATGAATTCCGTGACCTTGACGCTGAGCAATGGCGCCGTCTCAAATGGGTTCGTATGAAGTGGACCATCTACAACTATTGTACCGACCGGACTAGGTTCCCGGTTATGCCAGCGGAATGTAAAAGGGACAGAGATGCATAAGTACTCTTGAGGGTTTCAATGGATTTGGTTATTACTATCATTTATCACTTAAATTATGCTTCTGTTTAAGAGATTGATATATGTATTGTTTGTTGGCCCGTGATGTTTATGCTATGTTTGGGCTTAAATTTACATGTTATATAATTCATATATCTATTGTTTAGCTATTTCTTAAAATATGTCGACCAAAAAGAAGAAGAAAAAAAAGCCATATTCTTTAACGTGGTTAAAAAGTGCATTTCGTATCTAACAATTTAACATAAACCTGATTATTATTAGCCACTATTGATACGCCTTTTTATCTAATTTCTATGTAAGACACATGAACAAAATAATATTACATATGAACAAAAACTCATCCCAAAAAAAAAAAAAAACCTGGTGCTTGTCTCCTGGTGGTAAAGGAACCTCGGCTGAGGCACCCGCCACCCGGCTTCGAATCCCGGCCACTGCGCAATTTATCTGTGGGGCGCAGCGTCCCAGACCACCAGTTCCAGGGGGCCCTTAAGTGGAGGCTTAAAAATCCCAGGCACGCGGGCTTAGGTCCAGTGGGCTAGTCGGATCACAGTGTGGTCTGGACATTGGGTTATAAAAAAAAAAAAAAAAAAAAAAAACTCGTCCCACCCTCACATGCGTGCTTTTGCTTTACTGTTTAGTTATTCTAATTTATTTGAAATTTACACATATTTTAAAATGATAAATTATTATTATTGCTTTGATTGGTAATATATACCAGAATAGGTAAAAAGGAGAACTCTCTCGACTTTCTCTCTCTAGGCGATTTTCTAGGTTTCTCTAGAATCGACTTCACCGCTTCGATCAGATCGGTGATTTGCCTTCCGCAACCTGCGGATTTCTCGTTTGTTCATCGATTTCATCTTAGCTACAATCATGGCTGATAAGGAATTATGAGTTTCACTTCAAAATCTCAACCTGGGTTCGGATCGAGTTCCTCTAAAATTATCAACAGAAGCGAAGGCAAAGCGAGATGCAGATCATCGACTCAGCCTCGTAGTTAGGGGTTTACATCCATCACAAAACCCAGCTAGAATCAAAATCATGATGCCAAAGATCTGGAAATTGGAAGGTCGTCTCACTAGCCGTATCAATGAAGATGGTTATGTCCAGTTCTTCTTTAAGCAAGAACACCAGTTGCTCACCGTCTTAGATAATGGTCCCTGGACCTATAAAGACTGGTTAGTTGTAGTTGACAGATGGACCAGAAGAAACTGTCCAGACTACCTTAGAACCATTCCCTTTTGGGTCAAACTTCTGAATATACCTGATGACTCTAAGGAGGAGAACGCAATTAAGGAAATTGGAGAAATTATAGGTCAGGTGGATGACCTTCGCATTCAACAACCATCCGCAGAACAAGCAGGTGAGGTTTGGGTAAGAATCAAAGTGGATGTGTCAAGCAGGTTAATCTTTGTGAGATTCTTTGACTTTGGAGATCATGGAGAGCCAATCCTCATCAGATTTATATATGATAAACTTAGAAAGTTCTGTTCTGCTTGTGGTAGTCTCACTCATTTGGCTGCAAATTGTAATTTTCAAAATCAAGAGGTGGAACATCTTCCTTTGCCAACTCCATCTCAAGATCACAACCAGGAGCGTGTCTTAGAACAAGTGAATCAAATGGTGGAGGAGCCACACACTACTACTGAAACTGCGGATGATACAATGGGGGAAACTGTCGGCTCTAATATTCATATGGAGACATCAGAAGTTCAGACACATATGGATTCCCAAAGAGAACCGATGGAGTTCCTTCACCCAGAAGATATTCCCACTGATGTTAATCAAACTTTTGTAGTTCGTGAACTTGGTTCTGCATCAACTCCTGTCCCAGAACGTGGTCTCAAGCGTAAGATAGAACATGTGGCAGATGAAGATGTAGTTTCTACATTTAGACAGAGGACTCAACAACATGCTGTTCCAGAGGCTAAAGGGGAGGTGGCAACCCCGAAGCCACCATCTCCAAAATGAGGATTTTGCATTGGAATTGTCAGGGTTTAAGGAACCCCCTGACAATTCCTTACCTGAAGGATATCAATCGTAAATATAGGATTGATATCATGTTCCTTATCGAAACTAAAAATAAAGATAGTTATGTATAGCAACTCGGCGCTGATCTCCAGTTTAACCATCATTCCCTTGTTTCTCCTGATGGTCTAAGCGGAGGATTAGCTATCTTTTGGCGTGATACGGTAAAGTGTGATTTTCTATCCCCTCCAACACTTTACTACACGGATATATATGTCTCGGAAGGGCCAAATACTTTTTGTCTGACATATGTCTATGGTAATCCCGAACGAAAACCAAGACAGCAGATGTGGCATATGATGGAGAATCTGGTTAATGCTGGTCTATATCAAAGTAAACCAAGAATAGTATTGGGTGATTTCAACGAAATCAAAGACAATTCTGAGAAATTAGGTGGACCTGTGCGACCAGAATGGCAGTTTACCAACTTTAGAAGAATGTTGAATACTTCTGGTCTTCATGAACTTAAGACTTTTGGTGGACCCTATACTTGGATAGGCAACAGGAGCTCTGGTACTATTAAATCTTGTTTGGATAGAGTTGTTGCTTCTGCAGAATGGCAAGATAAGTTTCCAAAGGCAGTAGTTCAGCTATTGGATTGGGTAGGCTCGGATCATAAGCCTCTACTATTGCAAACTGATAACACTAAATGGAAAGGGAAGAAGCTATTCCGATATGATAATCGATGGCGGCTCCAACAAGATGTTCATATGGTTCTTCAAAATACATGGAATCAAAGCTGCAACTGGTTACCTCCACAACAATTCCAAGAGGCTTTGAAGAGATGCAGAAACAGTCTTTCTCGATGGAAATCTGAGCAAAATCTTAACTCTCACAAAAAGATTCAGCAATTGCATTCCGCCATCCAAAAAGCGTATGATTCTCCTTCTTTGGATTATAATTATATTTCAAGTCTTAAGTCAAAATTACAGCATGAATATAGAATGGAAGAAGAATTTTGGCGGACTAAAAGTAAGATTCAGTGGATGAAAGCAGGTGACAAAAATACAAAATATTTTCATGCCAAAACAAAACAAAGGAGTTATAATCGTATTACCTCTATTCAGGATGCTGAAGGCAACTTACAACAAGATGATAAGAAGATTCAGGACATTATCTGCACTTATTTTTTTGACATTTATTCATCCTCTTGCAGTGATTGCGTGGAACCCGTATTGCAGCATATCCAACCAAAAGTCACCATTACAATGAATCAACAACTTACCAAGCCAGTGTCTGAACAAGAAATTTTGAAGGCATTATCTCAGATGAATGTAGATAAGACGCCAGGGCCGGACGGTTTGAATGCAGGTTTTTACAAGTACCATTGGGAAGTCGTTAAATCAGGTGTAGTAAATTTCATTCAATGGTTTTTTCAAACTGGCTACCTTAATCCAGAGATAAACCATACCTATATCTGCCTAGTTCCAAAAGTTGAATCCCCTACCCAGATTAAAGATTTTAGGCCGATTAGCTTATGTAATATTGCATATAAGCTAATCTCTAAAATCTTGGCAGATAGACTTAAGCCATGGCTGAGCAACTTAATATCTGAATTCCAATCAGCATTTATCCCTGGACGTTTTATTACAGATAATATTATCATTACTCATGAGCTTTTGCATTCACTGCATACTAAGCGCATTAAAACTCCCTTTATGGCTTTGAAGCTTGATATTGCTAAAGCATTTGATAAAGTAAAGTGGAATTATCTGGAAGCTATTCTGAAGCGTTTGGGTTTTGCAGAGAAATGGTGCCAATGGGTAATGAAATGTGTTACTACAGTAACATATTCTGTGCTTATTAATGGATCACCAACAAAGAAGATCATTCCTCAAAGGGGTCTACGGCAAGGTGACCCTCTGTCACCGTATCTTTACTTACTATGCACTGAAGGTTTATCTTGTTTACTTACTTATGCGATGGAAAGGAACTTAATTCATGGTTTTAAAGCAAGTCGTAATGGTCCAAAAATTTCTCATATGCTCTTCGCTGATGATTCTCTTCTTTTTTGTCAAGCTAATGAAAGGGAATGTCAGCAAGTTCTTGATCTGCTTCAGACTTATGCTCAAGCTTCAGGACAGCATGTTAACTTCCAAAAGTCCGCTATCATGTTTGGTAAGAATGTTCATCTTGACACCCGAAACAATATAATATCTCTCACTGGAATCTCCAAAGTAGGAAGTTTTGGTAGATATCTAGGCCTGCCAGAAGCTGTAGGCAAAAATAAATATGATGCATTTGCCTATATATCTCAAAGGGTGCAAAATAAATTAGAGAGTTGGTATTCTAAATTATTATCTCCAGCAGGCAAAGAAATCATGATTAAATCTGTAGCTACTGCTTTACCTACTTACACTATGTCCTGCTTCTTGTTACCTAAGAGGCTCATTGCCAAACTTACAGCTCAAATACGGAGATTCTGGTGGTCTACTGTCCATGATAAGCAAAAAATACCATGGGTGGCCTGGAGCAAGATGACACAGTTAAAGCAGTATGGTGGTATGAGATTTAAGGACTTGCATCAATTTAATATTGCCCTCTTAGCTAAACAGAGTTGGAGGCTGCTAAAGGAGCCTCAGTCTCTACTTAGTAGAGTTCTTCAAGCAAAGTATTACTCAAAATCCACTCTACTAGAAGCTACTCTAAGACATCGTCCCAGCCATGCATGGAGAAGCATAGTTCAAGGCTTCCAACTCATTAAGCAAGGTCTTAAATGGAGAATAGGAGATGGTAAGTCAATAAGAGTATGGCATGATTATTGGCTTGATAACCCTCCACGTTCAGCCAGAAGTTTGAATACTTATTTGGCTGACAATATGAAAGTTGCAGACCTTATGGTTCCACATTCAACGCTATGGAATGATGAGAAGCTTCGAGCTGTACTCCATCCAGATGATATCAAGCTTATTAAAAGAATCCGTCCCAGAATTACTCAAGCCCCTGATGCCCCTACTTGGATATTCACTAAAGATGGCCAGTATTCTGTCAAATAAGGTTATCATCAACTCTCAAAAGTCAATTCTGGGCAATCTCCTAGATCTCCAACGAATACATTATGGAAATCAATCTGGTCCTTAAATATGCCTCCCAAAATCAAACACTTCTGGTGGCGGGTCTTACATAATGCATTATCTGTTGCAGATAATATCTCTCGCAGGCACATCAAGATCTCAACGGAGTGTCCTTTTTGTGGTGAAGCAACAGAGACCACTCTTCATTTATTGTTTCATTGCAGGCTTGCTAGAGAAATTTGGGAACTATCACCCTTATCTATCCCACTAGGTCAGTACGCTGCAAACAATAATATATCTGATATTGTGACTGATCTTTTAACCTCTAAGAACGAGGACTGTTCAAAAGAGCTTCTATTTCCTTATATTGGTTGGCGTATCTGGAAGGCGCGCAATGCATTATTATTTAATAATAAACGTTGGGCCATTCCAGATATTATACACCAAGCTCTTTTAGATTGGCGTCTGTGGACTGAAGCGCAAAATACTTATCATACACATATTTCACAAGGCAGAGCAGAACATGCATGTGATGTTTCTTCACATCATGAGTATTTACATCCTGACAATGAATTTTATTGTTGCATAGATGGTTCATGGGCCAACTCTGACAGTAAGGCAGGAATTGGATGGGCTCTCTATGATGCTCAAAATAGGTGTATCTTTAAAGGATCCTCTTCAATAGATCCTGCTGGCTCGGTTATTGAAACAGAAGCCATTGCCTTACGAGAAGCTCTTCTCCAGCTCAGGCGTCTCAGCTATTGCAATGTAACTCTATGTGGTGATTCATCCACTCTTTATCGCTATCTTGAGCAAGCAGAGATGTAATGCAAACCCATCCCTGGTCCTGTGGAGATTCAGACATATTTGGAAGATATCCTCGCTTTGGCTAAAGGATCTTTTCACTTTAAGTTTATTAGACGCGAGGCGAATGTCCTAGCTGATATGTTAGCTAAAACAGCTCGACACACCTGTTCTCCTTATGTTGTTTCGTGGATTTGCTAATATGTATGTCTAAACTCTGTATTCTGTTTTATCTAATAAGATAATTTGGCCGACAAAAAAAAAAAAAAATATACCAGAATAGTTTTTTTAGTTGATAGAAAAAATGATAAACGATATAAAGATAGCTAAAAAAGCAGTACAACATAACTAAGATTGGTATTACTGGAAAAAATGTCATTTAATCATTCGATTTTTAAATAATAACTATTTTATACATTAACTTTTTAGTAGACTATTTTAAACATCAACTAAACATTGATTGTCGTATTGAACATCAGATTGCGTTGATCTGGTCAATATAGACATGACGTTAAAATCCGATAGCGGAACTACTAACAGCTGTTATCAGACGTTAACTATTCTGTTAGTCGAATCGTTAACTTTCATATTTAGGCCATTTTAAACATGAACTTCCGTATGAGACCATTTTAATCAACAACTAAATATTGACTAACATATTGGAACATCATATTGCGTTGACCCAACCAAAAAAGACATGACGTTAAAATCTCCTAACATAACTACTAACAACCGTTATCTATCGTTAATGAACAACAAAACTAAGACAAAGGAAAACACAATTCAAAGAACCAAGACACAAATCAAAAACCAAAGACACAAAGATACTAGTAACCAAAAATGAGAAATTTGTTCTTGGTTACTAGTCTGCAGACGAATGGTGAGATCAAGAGAGGTGAACGTAAGACATTAGACAATGATAAGAAAATTGAGATAAAATAACAGATGAATACTTAATTTGAGGGGAAGCATGATGACGTTACATAAGATATGTATGCAAATGGAACAAAATGGGGATATTAACCAATGTTGGAGCAAGAAATTTTTGTTATAGGGGTCAATTTTTTTAAATATGAAATAATATATAAATAAAAAGGTATTATTAGCTTTCTCCTGAAATAATCT